AATGGACCGCCAACTGGCATAAAATCAAGTTACAACACGCAGTCTCCGAAGCGCGACATAAACATTTCGTGAGAGAACAGAAGTGCTTTTACGTTAGTTGTGTAGTGGCACTAGGGCAACTGTAGAAATTAAGTATCCGGAATAGACGAAAACACTTCAGTGTACAACGAAGTGTGAAGGGAACAAAGAAACTAATGGGAGGACAAAGGAAAAGCTGAAGTAAGAGAAACCAAAACAGTTTATCATCGCGTGTTGAGTCAATCATCTGTGTCATTCACTTATGGGTGTCTACGCAATGCCTGAGGAATACAGGGCTATTTGTACAGTTGATCAACATTAAAGTGGAGAGATGACTCTGCTACATTCATCAAGACACCTTAGAAGTTCTAGAATGGCAACAAAATGATGCATAACCAGTTCTAACTTCTAATGTTTACATAACTTTGCCGTATCCATTTCGTGACTAGCTGATTGCTAATCGTTAGTTACAGACGAGAGACTTAGTTAAAGACCAGGAGGGGGTAATTATACTTCCCGAAATAGACAGCTTTAATGGCCGTAAAATCGAAGAAACCATTTAAGGCGTAATCAGCGGTCAAAAAGGGGTAGCCCGCATTGAGATAATGAGGCTAAGTCACGCGATGGCGTGAGAATATTCCAGTCTTACAGGTGTCTAAATGTTTCGAGTCTGTTTAAGTGAAAATGCGATACACGCAAGCCGATTCGTCTTTAAACTGGATAATATAAAGCTCCAGCCACATTCAAGCCAAGAAAATTCCAAAAATGTTTCATAGTAACCCATGTTAACAGGTTGTAAGTGATAAATGCTACAGGAAGCACCAAGGAAATACTTGCGTGATTCAAGATCTCATATGAACCTTTTCCAGAACATTCAATAAGTTGAGCAAAAACCCACACATAACAAAGAGTTCTCACACACGGAGCCTATTATGTATATAAAATTGATTCCCTCACAAAACTATAAGAAACATGGTCCTTGTCCAGTACAAACCAAGATGATAATATGATTATGATACATATGGTATAAAGATTATATTCTAAATGAGAACATTACACACAGCAGCTTTAATTTGTTTGACAACTGAACGGTTTCACTATGCCATCTGCCAATTGAAAACCGCAGTAAAAAAAACTCAGTGCAATGGTCAAAACTGTACTTCATCAATAACTGGGTTAGATTTTTCATATTGTTAAGTTTCGATCGGGAGAGCAAACAAAGGTAAGAGCCATCAGTTTCCAAAAAGCAACAACATAACATTAACTTTAACTGAAAATCACCAACTCAGAAGTTCCTAATCATGCGAAAAGGGCGAAAACGTGAAATAAGAAAATAGATTGACGAAAATAACTTGTTCGTAAGAGAGTACAAAAAGCACTTTTTATTGTTAAAACAATGATGTGAATAAAAGTACTTGAAAAAATGTAATAGATTTTAAGTCCACCGCAGGACCAGGTGTGAAAAGTTGAAGGCAAAAATAGAGAAAGAAATGTTGTATAAGAAAACCTTACTCATGACATCATCAACAATTATGGACTCATCAACTCAAATCTTCCGTTAGTAAGAAGATCACGGAAGCATTATTCATCACAATTAACTTAATGCACTCAAGATGACACTTCACTTCATAATTAAAAAATCAAACTTGTAAAATTAACATAACAATGCTAAGATTTACAAGTTTCGAATGCCTTCGTCGAAAAATAAAATGACTAGTTGTAGAGACTGCATTTGACTGATTTCTCAACTTTTGTTAAATTGAGGGTTGTACCGAAGAATTCGTAAAAACTGAAGATCTAGTGTCTCAGTTCTAACCCCTGGTTTATCCGGTTTAAGGTAAAAACCTTATTCGAGACATCATAAATAAAACGTGTTTGATCCTGATCAGAATACGTCTTATCAATAAATATAAGGATTTTCTCCGAAAGAGGAATCGAACAAACGACTGAGCAATGTGGAAGATACATACACTGATCGCCTGTCACAAGCATCTTGCAAAATGCTAATAATAGCTGAAGATAAATGAAAGATGGTACACTGTATAGAACATTATGACTTGTATACCAAATTCATGCAATGTCTTGATTACAATAGGAAAGGATGGCAGCTGTAATCGGATCAAAGTAAACAAGATAAGGTTATTATGTTTGTTTTAGCGGCCAATGACGTTCTGAGCATTGGCTGCGCCGTTATTGTTATTCCCCGTGGTCTGTAAGATCAAAGACCAGGTGGGAATGGAGATGGATAAACTTGGCGAACAAAGGAAGAGTAGATAGAAATAAGAGAGTTGGTAAGTTTTTGAGTTCGGTAAAGAAATAAAGAAAGATGTCTTTTCGTCTTGTCACGAGCGTGGGACAAAGAAAAAATTCCGAGTCCCCATAAGGAATCGAACCTCAGACCTTCGGATTCCGCGCTCCGATGCTCTACCACTGAGACTCCACGGTGAGCGGGGTCTATTACGAAGTTCATATGACACGCGTCCTGCATACTGCTAAGATCAGCAATGTCAGACATGGTTTGATGCTACTCTGGTTTACAGATTTAACCGAAGAAGTTACAATTCATAGACCCAACGTTTCAACACTCCTGCCTAGTGCCTTCATCAGCAATGCCGATAGCGTAATGTTTTTAGATAGAGGAAGAGTAGTTAGAAATTCTAATAATATGAAAAATTTGGGACTTTTCGTTTTTCCGGAAATAAATTATTCAAATTGGGTTTATCATTTGATTTACGTCTACACTCTCTCCAGCAATTAATAAGGATCACCTATTCTTAAAAAAATTGCATTTTGGAGGAGTATTTTCAGAGATGTGGAAGCTGGTTCGCCTATCTAATGTCAACATATCACCTTGTTAGCTTGTGCTTTGAATTTGTTGTTTAATCCAAATAATCTCCTCCAATTGATCACCTTCTTCATTCACACTGCCTTCGGCATTCCCTTTCTATTTTTCTTATTCCTTCTATTGGCATTTAAGCCCGATCATGTTTGAGATAAGACAGAAGATAAATAACCAAACAATAACTGTTTAAGTTCTACCATTGATTTTCACAATTCTCAAATTAATAAAGATATTAACGACCGTTGAATAGCATGCTTTGCACGCGTTGTTTGTAGTTTCAAATTCCGTGAGACCTCTAGGTTGTGCGATTAACACTCGACGCTTTTCAAAATCTGCATCCAGCATGCTACCCTTTCATTGAACTGAAAACGATGGGATTTTTCTCTAACTTTGCCATTGAAATGCTCTATTTCTACTCAAAGATTTCCTATTTGGTGAAGTAAAAAAAAAGGGAAAAATCTGGAGCTACTGTTTCTCTGAAAATCATCGAGCGGTCATGAAGACAGACACTTTTGGATTTACAGAGCAACACGCTCAGTGCGGAATACAATGAATGCCTTCCTTGGCCTACTGGAGGTCTTAAAAAGTGGTCTTCACTTTGCCTGTCTAGTATTTTCAAAACGAGAAAATTGACTGATGCACATATGTGATAACTTTATCGCTGAAACCGGTCTATGTCTTAACCGCATTTGAAGCCTCTGAATCAGTGACTGGTGAATTCGCCTCATTGCAAGGTCGCCCCTGCTGCTACCTTTGCTTGTTCGCCCCCTATTATTATTATTATTATTATTATTATTATTATTATTATTATTATTATTATTAGTAGTAGTAGTAGTAGTAGTAGTAGTAGTAGTAGTAGTAGTAGTATTATTATGATTATTTCTTTAGTCGCCATGGAACACTGGGCCTGACGACACACGAGTACGAGTATTGAACTAAAACGTTGGTCATTCCTTCAGAATAATTTTTGGCTCTTAAAGGAGCCGATTTCGTTTTATTTGTTCTGGAAAGAAAAACAATGAAGTGTCAGCCAAGAGTGTTTTTGCGGCTACTGCCTCCGATAGAAGACGAAGGCACATATGTCGTCGAGATGAGTTAGTGAGTAAGTGAGTGAGTGGGTGAGAGTGAGCGTCATTATTATCATTATTATTATTATTATCATTGGTATTATTATTATTATGAGTATTTTATCACCTATCATTATCACCATCATCATCATCGTTATCATCATCATTATTATTATTATTATCATTATCATTATTGTTAGTAGTAGTAGTAGTAGTATATTTATCAAAATTATTATAAGTAGTATAATTGTTATCATCATTATTATTAATATTATTATAATCATTTACTATTATCATTATTATTATTATTTGTTACCAATCAATTATCAGTTGAATGTCAATTGGACAATATATTCTTGAATCATCTTTTCCTTGTGGAAGGGTACTCTTAGATATGTGGGATGCGGCAGGTTCTCTGTTTTGCATGTGAGACAAATCTTCTACAACACCACCTTCTAGCATCATTACACAACCTCTTGTTCTTTTCAATGCTATAAAAGTTGTGCTATATCAGTAGCAACAAGCAGTCTTTGACTGTCTATTTTTATGAAATGGTGTTGAGATCAAAGAGTAAGGCGTCTGCAGTTAAGTGTAGCGCTCAGAGACAGGATAAGGTTATTTGAAGAAATATTATCTCCGTAAAGACAGTAAAGATAACGAAGGCAATTAATTTGTTGATTTTGCTGATAACTCTCTCTCTCTCGACGTAAAACGTCACTCAGCACTATACATTTCAACGATGCATAACATTGCAGTCCGTGAGTTATTTGGAAAACCTAAATTTCACCAACACTACTTTCATGTTGGAGACATTGGGCTTAAAGGTTTGCACGCTTGACTCACGAGATCGTGAGGCAAAAGTACGAGCCCTGGATAGGGCGCTTGCGTTGTGTCGCAATGCCTCACCAATCCAGAAATATAAACTGGAACATTTGTTTCTTTGTAACGAATCTAAACTGTTCTATCATATGATTACACATAATATATTTCAAGGGTAAGAACGTGAGGAATATCGCATGTGAGGTAACATAAGTGGTACCGTTAAATACTGAAAAGTATAAGTAATACTTTACCTTTCTGTCCAACTCTTGTTTTCTGACAAATGCCTCCGACCTTGAGTTTAGTGACAGGCATCTCGTGCAGGAGTGTTAGTCAATATTCCTGGTTGCAATATGCTTTTGAAACCGGGATATCCATAAGCTTCGTCAGTTACGGGCCAGTATGATCTTGAGACTTACCATTTGCCATTCTTGCACATAAGAGACACAGCAAGCTTACACTGGAGATTATGTCTTGATTTGGCTCGAAGATTCCTCTGATGAGCATCAATGTCCCTCCTCAGATTTGAGAAATTTCTGCTACCTTCCATCCTTTGCTCAACATAAGCCTTAGTGAGACTTCTTCATTACTATTTAAAATGCTGTTGCAGGGCAACATTTACAAACCTGGTAGAAAACAAGGTTACTTTTAGGTTACTGTGTTGAGGACTCATATGGACTTTGTTGTATCTAGCTGAAGAACTAGAAATTCCTTTAAAGGTCAACTGAGTTTAAAATTGGAAATTAAAATAGCAAAATTAAAATCAACATCAATTTATTCAAGTTATAGATTTACTTTGATAGTTCATAACAAAAAAAATGACGAAAGATTACACCACTGAACTGATGGGGCAATGCTCATCCAAAGGAATTGCTATATACAGTGTAAGTATCCACTGGTCACAAAATGTGTGCATAATTGACATTGTATTATTACTATCATTGTTATCGTTTTCTATTTGTTGTAATTCTCAATATCAATGTTACTGGTACTACTATATACCCTTTTTTATTGCTATTATCATTGATAAGTTATCTGGTAATCTGAAGGAATATCCCTCCTTCAAAGGCAAATACAGTATATTTCTTTCCTGTACTTATGACAAATTTTAAGTACCAGATAATACATAAAGAAATGACTTACCATAGGCCCTTCCAAAAAGCAGAAGTCCAGCATCTCCTCAGATTATACTGATAACACAAATAGAGCTCTTGACCAGAAGATGAGTTGGATCCACCAACCTAAACATGACTTGTATATAAGTGTGTAATCATGTACAATCAAACCTAGAATATCTGGACTCTTGGGCTGAATTGTCTGGATAATTGATGGATGATCAAAAAGTTAATGAGCAAACAATATAATTTAATCAATAATGGAAATTGTTAAATCATTGTGCTTCATTGTTGACATCTGCCAAAACTATAACAAAAGTTATTAAAGCTTACCAAATGCATGCATGTTGCCAACTCTATCATTCTTTGAAGTTGCATTAGTGAAATAGTATCAAAATTGTTTAAGTACATCTGCTTTGTTTGATCCCACAACGACCAATTAACATTCATAAAAAAAGAGGGAGCAGAGAAGGGAGTCGATCAAAGATCAACTATAATCACAATTGAAAACAAATACTTCTTTTCAGTCTATCTTAAAATGAGAGGTTAGCCAAGAATGTTGTAACTTAAATACCGGCAGACTTATTCCAGTCTCATTTTTAATTCTGGATATCATCACCATATGTCTTCTTTTTCTTAAGTGTTTTTGGAGGCAACAATGCTGCACCTACTTTTAGGTTACTGTATTGACTACTCATATGGACCTTGTTGTATCTAGCTGAAGAACTAGAAACTCCTTTAAAGGTCAACTGAGCTTAAAATTGGAAATAAACATGGCAAAATTAAAATCAACATCAATTTATTCAAGTAATAGATTACCTTTGATAATTCACAACAAAAAAAATTATGAAAGATTATACCATTGAACTAATGGGGCAATGCTTATCAAAAGGAATTGCTGTATACAGTGTAAGTATCCACTCAGGTTACAAAATGTGTGCTTTATTGACTTTGTGTTATTACTATGATTAATATTTTTTTCATAATTGTTATCATTCTCATTATGAATGTTACTGGTACTATTACATATCCTTTTTTTTAATGCTGTTATCATTGATAAGTGATCTGGTAATCTGAAGGAATATCCCTCCCTCAAAGGCAAATATAGTATATTTCTTTCCTATCCTTATGACAAATTTTAAGTACCAGATAATACATAAAGAAATGACTTACCATAGGTCCTTCCAAAAAGCAGAAGTCCAGCATCTTCTCGGATTATACTGATAACACAAAGAGAGCTCTTGACCTGAAGATGAGCTGGATCCACAAACCCAATACATGACTTGTATATCAAGTACAATCAAACCTAGAATATCTGGACTCTTGGGGACTGGGCTGAATTGTCTGGATAATTGATGGATGATCAAAAAGTTAATGAGCAAACAATATCATTTAATCAATAATGGAGATTCTCGAATCATTGTGCTTCATTGTTGACATCTGCCTAAACTATAACAAGTTATTAATGCATGCACATTGCCAATTCTATCATTCTTTGAAGCTGCATTAGTGAAATAGAATCAACATTGTTTAAGTACATCTGCATTGACTAATTAATATTCATAAAAAAAGAGGGAGCAGAGAAGGGAGTCCGGTAACTGTAAAAAAAAAAAAAAGTGATCAAAGTTCAGTTGTATTCACAAAACAAATAGTTCTTATTAGTATGAGAGGTTAGCCAAGAATGTTGTAACTTAAATTCTTGGCAGTTATTTGTCACCTGCAGACCTATTCCAGTCTCAGTTTTTAATTGAGGATATCATCACCATATGTCTTCTTTTTTTAAGTGTTTTTGGAGCCAACAATGTTGCAATAAAAATTATTGATTGATGAGAAAAATATCAGGGTTGCAGCAATACTTGGGAAGTCAGGTAAAATGTTTGTTGGAGCCACCTGAATCACAAGTGGAGGGGATTGCAAGGAAGCTGACATGAAATTGCACAATTCATGTGACTAAGATCAGTTCAAAAGAAGACACTAAAAATTAATGATTGATGAGGAAAATATTAGGGTTTCAGCAACACTTAAGAGGTCATGAAATGTCTGTTGGAACCACCTGATTCACAAAGGGAGGGCATCCAAGGAAGCTGACAAGAAATTTGCATAATTCTTGTGACCAACATCAGTTCAAAGATGATTGATGAGAAAAATATCAGGTTCACAGCAATACTTAGGAAGTCCAATGAAATGTTTGTTGGAACCACCTGAAACACAGTTGGAGGGGGTTGTAAGGAAGCTCACAAGAAATTTTCATAATTTTATGCCTTAGATCAGTTCAGAAGAGAAACTGAACTTTAACTTGCATATTTACAATAACATCTATAAAAGTATTTTTTATATTGCAGATAACATATAAATTAATCGGTTTCAATTTTAACTGAAAGGGACTATGCACAAGCTCCAACTGAAAACTCACTTCCAGCTTCTTCCAGTCTTTAATTCAAGTAGAAATAATAGGCTCATAGGCATAATCAAGGTATTTGACCTGTTGATCCTTTTTGAGGTACAAGAAATTGACTTCCATAGTGAAATGACAGAGATTTAAACAAATTGCCTCACATTTTTAGCAATAACTAAGCTTTCGTAAGGGATTCTCTGACTTACAGTAATTTCAGCTACAAGTAAAATTTTGCAATTTTGAGTAGATGGTCCTTTTCAGAAAACAGTACCTCGAGAGGAGTTTAACCAAGGAGGATTGAGCAAACATTAAGGTAGTCAAGACCCTTACTATGGGTGAATACTCAATATATGTAAGTATATGACTAGGATAACAGGACTTGATAAAGCTGTTTGCCTAATGGGAAGGCAGACTGTGCAGCAAACTTATTCAAACCCCACATCACACCATAAAATCTTAAAAGTAGTGGGTTAAATGTAGAAAAAAATTCTTAGAACTGTAGAATTGCTGACAGGTTGTACCAGTACATCATTTCTTGTACGTGGAATAAGCTGCCTTCAGTTGCAAAAAAATGCCCCTAACATGTCATCTTTTCAAAAACATTTAAATTATTTGAATTGTATTGGTAGCCAATACAACAAATTGCCTACAATAAATCATTTTATCTTATCTTGTATTATCCTTCATCAACCAAATTTCTTCTGGAAGAACCTGAGTGATGGGGACAGCCTACATTTGTTATGCTTATATGCAACCCAAAAAACTACATTCAGCATATGACATTATTTCAGCCAGCACAGAAACTTAAATATTTCCACTGGAACAACATACAAAAAGAGAAATGCAACAAAATTCAAGTCAAACTACAAACATCTTTCAATTTAGTAATTTGTTTTTGCTAAGAAGCATTGACCTAGCTCAGTACTCAACGAAATTGTCCAGAGTTGCTTCTAAACATGACAGACTAGTTAGTCGAGGGAGTATTTTAATAGAATAAATACGACGTTACACTAGGTTTGGGCTAGACAGTCCTCAAAATTATGCCCTACTTTTGAATTAAGACAAAATTTTCCTTCAAATTCACTTGGATAGCGACCATTCCTTTCAGTGCCCGACGGCTGCCTAAAGAGCGGGTTGTATCGAGGCTGTAGATGAGAAACTCTTTCACTTTTCACCTGTTTTTAAAGAATTTACCGATTTTTCGTTCGTTTTCCAGGAGTAAAACGATTACTTTGCATACTTCCAATAATTTTTTTGTAGCAATTCTCCTCTTGACGATAATTCATAGCAGTTAGCATCGAACTATGGAGAGGCGCTTTTGTAACACGAGAAAAACTCAAAGTAAAGGCTTGAATCTATTCTCGTTATAGCGTCAATTGGAAGTAAACTAATACAATTTCTGACTTATAATGAACTGAATATTAAAAAAAGAACCAAAATTTACCATAAAATAGCGCTGCAGCCGGAAAATTTCGAGTCACAAAGCCTTATTTTCGCAAGCCAACATTGCACACTCTTTCTGTAGTTTCCCGCTATGAATTTTTAAAATTCCCGGATATTCAACCCAGGCTTCCTCACTCAGACCGGATTCATTGGAAGGAGCGCTGAGGGAACGTGTTGATAGGGCGTTTCGTAGTGACAAGACAAAAATAACAAACTTGGCAATGAGGCGGCAGTATTAGCTTCCCCAAAGATTGAATACAACACATTTTACAAATCATATGAGTAAGATGGCCGAGACGTCTTTAACATAAACGGCAACATTACCATTCGAGTGGAGAGCCGGGTTTGGCTGATGGGCATCCAGATGGTTTGAGACCGAGTGCAGGTGGTGACCCAGGTATCCATAAGCTCCGATAAAGTCAATAGATAAAAAACACTCTCGTTTGGTAAAAAGTCTTCTGCTAGCCCCTGATCAAAATTTTTAAGGTTCAACTTCTCATGTTTCAAGAACACAGATTTTTTCATTTACCCAAGTTCGGACATTTCAAAACCTAAAAAAACCAACATATGTTCGCTTTAATCGACACTTGTGGAAGAAACACCTATTACTCTCAGATAATTTAAGAGACCAGTTGGATGGATATTCGGTTAAATTTGAGAAATTCGTCGCATTAAATCCATTTAAAAGACGTGACCTGCTGCGAGACATATGACCACTGTGTGAAAAGGGCGCCGAGTTAGAGACTGAAATGGGGATGATATCAAAAGAATAGCTTTTTAGAGGATTGCGTTATCTCAGTCGCGCGAAAGAAATTTATTTGGACATGACTGACCACTTACACGCGCGAGTTCGGATTTCCCTATCACCCCGCGTGGATTCCGTGCTCTGAGAAATAAACGTGCGAGAAGACAGCTTTGTTTGTTTGTTGCTTTTTTTTACGCTTTTTACCAAAGGATTACAACATTTCTCAATTGCTCCTTCACACTCCGTATGGGATCATTTGCTAGTTCCGTAGTTCTATTAAAACTGGAGCGAACATTTCATTGTGAACATTATTTTCTCATCAAAAGATTATTACATTAAAATTTCATCAATGTTTTGTAGACGTCGTTTGTGGACGCTGCAATGCCGATGGAATGTAACTGTCACTGGCAACGGAAATCGATTAATAAAACCAAGGATAACCGATCACGTTTCACACTACCTCGCGAAAGGTCTTTACCACTAATCACCTTCAGTGCCGTATAGTGTTTCGAACAAAGATAAACATATGACTGATATGCACTTAGAATCTGATGAAAAGCGTTCTGTTATGATATGTCTCTATGTCGCCCGCCACCCATCTAACACAGACATGAGCAGTCCTTCTTTACAGCTTCTCAGTCAACGAGGGGAATCCAAAGTTAGCGAGCGAAAATGAAAATCATGCGAGCCTCTCTCGTCGCCAAGCTGGCTCCACGCATACAGCCGAGATAGAGGACTGCTCATTTCTTCTTTCGATCTTTCCCACCTGAAGATCGAATAACAACACGATCGACATATCTCTGTCTCCTGTCATTCGAGTCACTATAAAATAACACCACGCATCTTGTACAATAATAACACGATAGAAAACTCGTTTTTGGCGCAATTTGAGTTAATGACCTTGGGTTGCTTCTAACACAACTTTTGAGTCTGAAATTCCTTCATAACAAATTAATTATACAAAACTTGGTCTGTGTTCAATCCAAATTCCATTGTCCCCCGAAATCACCGACAAATCTGAGCGCATGTTCTTTGCCATTTCATAGTTTGAAGTTTACATCATGCATGAGTTTCTCAATTTTCTAACATTAAAATTGCTCCTTCTTCACAACAATTACTTCTTCGCTCGGCATTTCTACGCATACAAGTTGAACCGCCTCTCCTGGTCCGTTGAGATTCGCGGACGGATACAGACAGTTGTTCAATAATTCTTGTTCGGTTTTCGTCAATGGCGGGGCAATATCATCATCCTCAGACTCGACATTCCCACTCAATAGTGTTTCATCCACACCTCCATTCGGAGAATCAGGCGCCAAAGTATCTATGCTCTTCCTTAGTGAGTCGTCACTATGAAATAAACACCAAGGAAGTCATGTTTAGTTTACCTTTATGCAACATGAGAACGTGTATTGAACTTTAAAAAGGTAAATAAATCGCATTGTTGTGACAAGGGTCATTTTAAACCCAGCTGTTCAGATTTGATAGACGAAAGAAACTTCCTAAATATCAAGTCCAGTGTTTTGTCAAGGGACGCTTTCTAATACGCAACTTAAATGTATCAATTACTGCTCCGTTTGAAGCGAATTAAGCCTGAAATTAAACCCGGGCCATTAGAAGGCTGAGGAAAGCAGTCAACATTACAGCTATCGTGCTTTAAATCGCAGCTGATTGAAAAGTTCTCGACAAACTATATTTTGCTACTCAACGGAGGGATTGATGTCAATTTAAAAAGTATTCATTTCACACAAAGAAATGAAACTAGGCAATCCACTGAACAATTACTACCAAGCGTCTTATCTTAAGTAAAAAACACATAAGTAAACAACCATGTAGTGCGAGTTTCCTTTTACACAAAGAGCTAATTCTCGTGTGATCGTACCTTTTGTTCGAGGGAATTCTGTCGCGCTGTCTTCTATTTTTGAACCAATTACTCACTTGCTTCAAAGTTAATCCGGTCTGTTTGGCGATGAGGCGCTTCTCGTGCGGGGTAGGATAGCGATTTTGCTCGTAACATTGCTTCAGTAGCTGCCTTGATTTTTCCTTAAAACAGTACACTGTTTCCTCGCCGTCCCAAATAGTCCGAGGAAGTGGATACTTTCGTCTTATCCTATATTTGTCCACAGCTCCTAACTCTCGTCCTCGCAACTTCTCGGCCTCGCAGTAATGAGCTTTATACCACATGTTCTGCAGCATTTCATGCGAAGACGGATCAAATTCATGGCCTTCGAGTATCGTGTACACTTCGCGGAACCTTCCACGGTGAAACGCGACGAAAGCTCTTGCTTTTAGCACACTCTCCGTTCCGCTTAGAAGCTCATTCGGTGGGAGTGACCAAAGAAATCGAGCTAACCTCTCGATATCTCCTGATTGCCTCAGCGCATCGCAGACACAGGCTACCTGATCGGTAGAAAACGTCAAAGTTGCAGGCTCCGCTTTCGCTGGCGTGACGTTGTCAAACGCATCCATATCTTCCCGTTAAAGACCATTAAATTTCTCTGAGCTCAAAGGGTTGAGTATAACGCATTGTCCTTTCACTTTTTCAAGTGAGTGTGGCTGAATAGCTAAATGTGCGATTATGCCACAGCAGTTTGTTACAAATCAAAACCGCGTCCCTTGATTGGCTCGCACGTTCGCTAATCGATGACATCGGAAATTCTTTGGTCACAAGTCCGTTTGTCGCAATTAGAGGGCGGGACTTACCAAGTTAGGTGTCAACTTAGTATGCTTTGTTCTTGATAGGTATCAATCTATTTCGATCTGGATCTCGACCTTTCGACAAATCAGAGTAAAGAATTATAATTAGCAAAGGGATTTCTATTTTTTCACACCTATCATAACAAATCCCAACTTAGCTAACGCTGCTCAACTGAGAAAATTCGCACGGACTATAAAAACTTATTCATATCTACCGTTTAGCCACTTATAAAAAAAGGTATAATACACGAAAAGGTTAAACCACGTGCTACACTTCCTTAAACAGTCCTCTACTTGACAAGCACACCATTGTGCGAGAAAACGCGTGAATTTCCTGTTCGCGCATGGATAAAATATGTTAATTACCCATGTAAATGTTTGGTTCTTAAGAAAACTTAAAATCGAGTGCCGCGTCGGCTTAAATAATGCATCAGGAGTGTATTTCTTTCTTTTCATGAAGAACACTGAAGAACGCGTGCTATTTTATGACAGCTGTGTTGGTAAGCTTTCATTCGGTGTCTAGGTGTCAAGTCTGCCGCATTGTATCTATTCACAAATCCCTTTTATGGAAACTGTCTCATGTAAACACACAACCAGAAACCATTTCTCTACAGCTAAACACGGAAACTATGAACATTTTTCTTGCTCGTTGGCATATGACTTCACATTTGTAAACAGCTTTCGAGAATCACTATTTTGGTCTTCTTCGTTCGCGTGGATCGGAGTCATTTGATGCTGCTGACACGTCGCGCGCGAGAAGTTTGTAAATCACGTGCCGTGGTTGATACGTTTCCCCCAAGAATCCCCGAAGAATTGAAATCATCTTGGAAACCCGAAAGGAAACGAGCTTTCATTTTTCATTTTTCTTAACTAATCAGTGTAATAAACAATATATTTTTGACTGGTTAATGCGCGCCTAGTGTCCAAGTTATTCGGTAATGGTGGTAGTGGGCTTTGCCACGCAAGGTCATATAAGAACTACGTATTCGCTAAAAAAAAAAAAGAAAAAAAAGGTGAAGAAAACCAACCCTTTCTGTGGCAAATTGCGTAATATTCCACGTATAGTAGGCTAAAACTAATATTATCGTTTCCCCCACGCTCATATCCGTCTTTCTTGGAAAGCATTTCATATCGTTTAGCTGCAAGGCTGACTGACAACACATTGCGTTACAAATTCTTTCTCGAGTGCGTGACCAATTCAAACAGAGCGCATCTTGCACTATGTACGTCTTCTCAAGCATCTAAAATAATTACCTAATTGTCTTTCTGACCGACCTGGCTCACGTATTGGGCATTCATCGAAGTTAGGCGCAAGTACGACGTCAAAGCTCGCGAGTCGAGCATGGTGACGCGTGAATTGCGCGTGAATCGCGCGTGAATCACTTGATATAAACAAGAAGTTCGTTCTGGAATCTGAAAGCCTGTTGAAAACTGTATAATGTTTTCGAAATGCCCAAAATTTCTCATTCATAAATGAAAGATCACATAATAGGCCGCGGATTCAAAATTTACGCTAACACAAGAAAGGAAACTACCAAACATTTCCAAGCTGTTGGTTTGATTAGAGACGGAATCGGATCTTTCCGTGCAGATCTCGTCTGCCACGGTCGAAATGGTGCCCTTTTCCGATTGCGTGACCGCTAACCCAAATTGATCTGTTACCGCAGGCACACATGTCAAAGACCGCGACTAGGTAATTTTTTTTAAGTCTGTACAGCGAATTTTTTTATTTTGCGCAAGAGAAACAAGAGGAACACAAACGCACACCCTTACTGTGAAGTTGACAGAGCATCATCAAAAAGTGTGTCCTATTTACGCGAAAGACGACTGCCGACAAGAAATGAGTCTTGTTGAGCGCCATATAGTTTCAGCCGTTTGCACAGGAATGGAAATATGTTTGCAAAGAGGTGAATTGGCTTCGTTGATAGTATTAATACTACAAAATGAAGTTTATCGCGACTTCCTATCTTATCTACGTTAGATTAAAAATAAGACGAAATGTACAAAGTGTAAAAAAAACTACTAATTGCTTGTGCCAGATATCATGGTGAAAGAAGTGGGAGAAATTCTCAAGCAAACTTTGTCAGAGACTCGAAAAACAAAGAGAGTCGTCTTGAATCATTGCACTTGGCGTTGTTCTCTTTTTTCTATCTTTTGAGAATCTTCGAATATCTCGGAATTGTTATCTCGCGAACAGTTCGTCTAGGCGCTTTCATTTCAAACGACTCTTGCTTCAGGCGATATCAGGGTGATGGCCCTTACGGTCACTTCCAAGTTACAGTTCTAATTCTAGCTGTGTCCTCACATCAAATATATCAGTTCAGGTATCTCAAATGAACGCCTAAGGCTCCAGCTTACTACGCGTGAGAAGTACCATTCGTCAGACGTAAACTAAAGGCCGGCGTTCAACAGAGAGTCAAACGAGCGGGATCGTTATGGTCAGGGTAAGAACCAGATCCATTTGCAAACAATCGATCACACTTCATACTCACACAACTCCACTGGGCTCCTATTGATTAATATTGTGCCAGCATAATTGTTGGCATAATTTGTCGAAACCAGCACAATGTTTGCACTTTTTACGAAAGTAGCACTGCTGGCATAATCAGCACACACAGTATATTTCAGTTTAGTATTTTTGAAGGGAATAATACCAGAGTCATGACTTGTTTTGATCTCTGATATTACTTATTTTCAAGTTCAGTTCATGGTTCAGAGTGCTTTCATGTTTGCAATGTCTTAGGGGAAGAAGGTTATCACAATACTCACGTTGTTCCTCGTTTAGGGGACAGAGCACACCAGAAGTGATGATTACGTTCATTCCAGATTCCACTTTAACAAGCAACAAAATGGGAGTAGTTAGTTATGTTTTATCGGAGCAAGTGCGCATAGTAAATCGAGATGAAGAAGATATATGATATATAATTATAATCTGAACTTGCTTTGTGGTTTTTTTTCAAAGAGCATACTTTAACAAGGCCTAACACAATTTTTAAAAAAGAGCATAACTTGGAAAAAAAGTTAGGCGATACTAGTAGCATAACATGCTGCCTTTACAAGCACAATCTAAGCGCAACCGGCCGCGCACGCAGGCTATTCGAGGAAAACGTTATCTGATTCAAATAGACACGCGTTGCAAGTCAAAACCGGTAAAGATGTCCGTGACACGCATCCACAGTTCACTTGTGAAGCATGCTATGCAAAGCTCTTTCCTCAAAGGTAAGAAGCGCAAGGAAAGCACAAGTTCATATGTTATGAAAACATAATTTTTCAAGGCTTTGAAAGCCCATATCAAGCACACTAAGTACACCCTTAGTAGCTGATAAGATCCTAATAATACCTCTAGCCCCCGGATTTTCCTTTCACCCTTGAAAGTCTGTATCAGTTTTTTTTTTTTTTTTTCATAATTTTGACTTAGTGAAATTAAGCATCGTCTTTGGAAATCGTTTTTCTGATCACCCTTCTGCTTGACCATGTGTTGATGCCGTAAGGAAATATTACACAGTAATCATTCTTGAGAAGGAGAGTGAAAGTTTTTGTAAATGTTCACTATGCAGTGCTCCTTTTTGGTCTTACCACCGTTTTAGTTCATAAATACTGTGGCGCAACTCAGAGCAATATCTATGATTTCCAGGCTGAGGTTAAAAGTTTTTGCTGAGAAAACCTGGTCAGGATTTCTTTTTTTCCAGGGAACGCAAACGCAACGATGCAAGAGTCAAACACTGACTCTTACAGCTGCTGCACTTTTGCATTCCCCCCTCCCCCCTCTTTTTGAAAAAGGAACACTTTATTGCGCCGCCCAGCAGGGGCAAAGAGTTTTCAATCGAAAGAGAACGTTCAGTCATTTTTAACAAGGTATTAGGTTCGGCTCATCAGGCTAAACCCTTAGCGGTCTAAAGCTGCAACTTAAGACAAAGAATCAGATGGTATTATAAATACTATTCGCTCTTAGTAATCGGTTTATTTAAATGTCTTGAGCGGTCTTCCTGAAATTTATGAACACTCTTTTTTATAAGAACATCTTGTCTGCAGCTTAGGCTAAATATTCTTATTTTATTCTGCGATTTGCGCCTGAAAAACGCTCTTAACATGTTCCGGCTTAAAGTTGTGAAGCAAAGTATTTCAATGAATGAATTCGGACGTGACCATACTAAGTTCGGTTACAAACTAAGTTTTTCTCCAGTGTATTGTGCGATAAGAAAACCGCATTGTTAATGTTAAAAAAGGTCTTTCAGTTTTGAGTCAATTGTCCTGTTAGATCACAGTTTTGCATTTCGTTTATCTTTATTCAAACTTCTCACAAAAAAAAGGGCAAAATAACGACGTTCTTGACTGAATCTCAGCATGTGCATGTTCTTAAGATGCTCTTAAAATTTTGGTTAATCTTAGCCTGAGTGTTCCTATAAAAAAGGTTCTTATATAAAAAAAAAAAAAAGAGTGTATCAGTCGAGAAAATATATTTCTTCTAGCCAGAAACTCGATTTATTGGAATCTAGAAATGTTAAATTATCCTCCGGTACTTAAAGGATTTCCGTTTGACATCATCAAGTCCATTATATCAATGTTTCCGTCCGCCGGGAACGTGCACGTGAGCTGCCGCGCCATCTCACCAAACCACGGGTCTCAGACACGCGTAATTGATACGCAGCACTCTGTTGGGGGATGTCTAGTTTATTTTATAATTGTACAACGAATACGATTCCTACAGCAAATAAAAACTGAGTTCCATAACTAGCCGTAGCATATTTATCACAATGCGGTGTCCATAAACATTGCGTCGCCGCATCTATTCCCTCACCAACAACAGCTCCAATATAAACCTGTGATACTATTTTACATCGTCCTTCGATGCACTCCTCAACACGAACTTTTATTAATTCACTTAGCAAGGGGCCAAGCCGGCCAAAAAGAGTATGATCATATTGCGAAAATTGCGACAAATACGACGTAAGCACGTCCAAGATAATCTTCCTCAGTTGCTCATCTTGAATACGGACTCGGAGGTCCGAAACAGTTTTAGCGCGGGCTCGTCGACCCGAACTCTTCTCCGACGATTTCACAGCGTCGCTTTCGGGAATCGTCGCCAATGGATTCCATCCATTTAATTTACTCAGTTCCGACAACGGAACATTCGGCCACGTTTGGGTTCTCTTTCGCCTCCAAAATCGATCCACCGGCGGCGAAATACGTTCAAGTTTCTTTAGATTCATTTCTTTGGCCCGTCCTTCAACCTTTCACATACATCGTAAGTTATTTCAAGTGGTCAGTGTTTGCAGTGTTTTCTCTTGAATCTGTTTAGAAAGGCGTCATCGTTTTCCCAGATGGTTCAATTTGATTCGCGACTCTTTTCCTGCATGAAGTATTTTCTTCAGACAACACTCCACTTCAGCTGTATGAAGCACAGATATAAAGTTGCTATAAGTACAATTTCTTGAAAAGTCAATGCCAAGGTCGGAAGAACTAATAAGCTTTCCTTCACAACAAGAGAAGTGCACGAATTGGCAAGAACTGTGCGTGTCAAGGGTCAAACTTGTTACTGCTTGAATTTAACTTCGTCTTACTTTAAGTCAGCAACTTTCCCAGCATTTCTTTACCAGGATTCCAAAGAGAAAAAGTGTTGACAATGATTTTCACGTTCACCACAGTGACAGGATTTTACTTCAATTCCTGGTGATTGGAACAGACAAGATTCGATTGGGTAATTCAGACTTCAAAGGGAAGGATTATGACCCCTTTGTCAGACTAAGAAATCTGATCTCCCGCCCGATTGCATGCATGCTATTTTTGCGAAATGACCTGAATATTACGCGCGACTATTTCTTCCTTTCTGCTTAGAGACATTTTCCGTGAGCGTCACAAATTTTGTCTACAGCTCAGTGTCAATGAAACAATGCCTCAGCTGGAGGCTAGGCGAATTAATTTGTCTCTCCTCAGACATGCGACAAAATATCAAACACAGAACCTAAAAGGCCCTGACAGAAGACCGAAAATTCAATTTGTTTTTACATTTGACACGATGATCTAACCTCCCTAAGTATAATTTTCTCCATGCAATGCACAAAGATGACAGGGCATTTTTAAACCAAATTAAATACTAACCTTGAATATAATTTAATCAACTTTAATTTCCTCTTCTCCATCTTCTGAACCTTTGGACATATTTTTCACCTGTGGGCAAAGCATCTGGTTTATTTTTTGGTAGCATGACTCGAAGCCCCCTTAAAAAAGCATTTATTCCATAATTGCTTCACCCAAAGTCTGTTTACGAGCGATAATGAATGGGAATAACTCAATTATTGTGTTGTTGTCCGCCAGTCTTGAGATCCACAACAAGCTTATCTCTGTAGATTTTTTTTCGTGAACGTGTCGCTGAATGAACTATGGAAGTTGCGTCTCTTCGATTTACTGTCTGGTTTTTGATCCCACTCGAAGCGGTGGTGATGTAAACAAAACAGTACCTTTCGAGTTGGCCGGAAAAGCGTGCGACTGAGGTTTTCACTATCGCAGTCACCGGTGTTCACGTGATTCTCGCACTGTTGTGCAACTCACGAGCTGGTCGGTAGCGAAGTCGTGAGAACGTTGGAAATTCCTTCGACTGATGAATGAATTCAACATGTGCTATGTTCAAACTGTGGTTTAAAGCCAAAAGTTGGCTTCACGGAATTCCCATGAGTTCAAATTTAAATGATCAATAATTGATTGCCATTTCAAAGACAGGTGTCGTTTTCAATTGGTGGAGTTAGGGTTTATCGAGAAACGTCAAGAGGAGGTGAAGTGTTTTTGAGCAGTTGTTTGGAAGATTTCCTACGGCCAAGAGTGACAAGAGATAGCTGCATTTCTTGTAATGAAATTGGGAATTAAATTTTTATCTATCTTTGTCCGCTCGAGATGCCATGACAAAGGAAACCATGGGCAACATAAAAGACATTTGTTCAACAGTGTAAACAAATTAACCTTAGATAAATATCAATATACGTTTACGATAAAAATAATTGTGAGCGAATGTCATCGCTTTCAAGTAGTAGGTAACATTCAATTGTAGAAACTAGTTTCGCTGGTATAATGAGGCGATTTTTTTCGCCTTTTCAAATCGAGGGAAACCAAAATATTCGTTATATGGAATGAAACCATGATTCATTTTGTATAATATTTCAAATGACACATATTTAGCGTGTTCACAGATCGTTTCCTCATCTGAGCGAGTAAAACGCGAAAACAAGTCACTTCGCTTACCGAAAGAAAAAAAATAAAGATCACTCAAACCGAAAAAAATTTCACTTCTTCAATGAACCATTAATCTCTAACATCAGTATGTATATTCTCCATATTTTTCTCTATATACTTCCCACGATGCTTTTAAGCAGAATTTGTTTAACAACCAGGAAAAAAACTTAGTGAAAACTGACTCAGATTGCAGGTTACAAATTTGAAAATTCAAATTCAGGGACCGCGACAGCGTAGGGCTAACCCTTGCCTCTCCAAATAGTCCCGACGAATATATTTCCTTCCACTGAACCACAAAGATGGACAAAATTGTAAGGCTTTCTAACAATATTCCCCCGATTTTGAAGAGAAAACTGAGAATTTACACAAACCCTTTTGAAAAAGCTGGTTTGCATCTAACGATCGAAAAGTAATTGTCATGCAAAGACACTGCATTAGAATATTCTGTCCTCAGTTTTTTTTTTTCAAGATATATGTTTCATTTTGAGCTTTGTCGTTAAATAACAAAGATCATAATTATCTCTACAGAACCTCAGACAAAGAAAAATGTACTCTTCGAATCTCAGGCCGTCTTTCATTTCACGGGCTGCTGCTGCTTAACATCTGATATGCAGAGAACTCTTAAGTGATCTGCGTGCGCAGTTTGATATGTTCATCATGGTTTGACGAGCATCTCACACATTTCTACAATCAGCGATGTCGAAAGCATTGTGTGGGTAAGTGACAAAATTATGAAAGACGGCATTTCAAGGTAAGTCATCTCTGGAATGAAGAAAGAAGTTGATCATTTATCAGAAACACGTTTGGCTTACCATTTGAATACTTATCCTTATAGGCAGACATGTCTGAATCATGCTTATCTGTAGGGTTAGCTTAACGTTTGCTGTTGGGGTGATGTTTTCAATCTCTTGCAAACGGCAGGGGCTCACGTAGACCACGTAAACAAAGTCGTCTGCCAATTCATAAAAGTGTTACAAACAACTTTGGAGGGAGTTGGCCATAGAACACTATATCAAGCAAGAAGGACCGAGACTCATCTTCCGGATTTTCTTCTTTATTAGGCTAACTGCTCAATTAACTAAATCAAGTATAATACACTTCCTTAAGTGCTTTATTAGTGCACATGTTAAGGTTATAGGCCTGTCGATCTTGGAAGATTGAAGCTCTCTACAAAACTCCTGACCCAAACATTGTTCACAAGTGAACAACAAAGCACTTGATATTCTACGCTATGAAAAGCCGATTATTGAATTAGCGAAAACAAAAAACACACACAGGAACTATGTTGCTCGTCCAAACCACAGCCAACGTGTAGCCGTACCCTACACGTAGGCTATCCAAACCAAGTTCAACGGGACAATGACCCAAACAAGAACACAACCAGCAGAACCCTTCCTGTTGTTCATTACAAACAGACTAAATATTTTTATCAATCTTTTAAAGGTATAGTAGGTCAAAGGTAAACACACTAATCAGGAAATGAAACTTGGGGCTAAATCTACCTCCTGGACAGCTAAATTCACAACAAAAGTAACGAGCCATAAACTAACCGAATTCAGCAAGAGCTAGTCAATGTCACTTTGTAAAATTTCAAAGTTAGAAACCAGCGTTTCAAACTGGTCCTCTTTCTGTATTTTTAGTCTTGGATTATAAAGCGCTGGAATTAATCGCTATTGCCACATAAATGAATGTTTTAAATTGATTCAAATTGATTCCTCTCAAAATACGTCTACGTTTGATTCTCTATTTAACCACTAAGCTCAATAAATGTGTCACAAAGAGATGCGTTAATGGATAAGAAGTCGTTCCCAACTGCAGCTCAGACTAACCCAAAATCGATTAGTTTGTGCTGTTGTTTTCGTTTTCTCTCAAACCATGGGGGATCTTGTAAAAAGCCATCCGCTATTAATTCTCTACCAAATTGTAAGAGTCTATCTTTTGGTCGAGGATCGAGTTAAAGAGTCATTGATTTTCAAAATTAAGAAATCATCAAGATCGAGCCAGTTTGCTTTCTGTATTCTGGAAAATGTGTCATGTTGCGCTATTGCCGCTTAATCGATAATCCTTGAGGTAATTTACCTGAATCAACCATTGCAAGATATTCAGTTCGTCCGCTCGAATCCTCTCATTAACGCACCCTAACTTGTGGAGTAGAGGAGAAAAAAACTCAGGCTTCAAGAGTAGCGCTCAGAGGTTACGTTTTTTCAGCTTGTTTTTTCAATCGTCTTGACGAAAAGATAACATCACGTCATCAAAATGAACACCACAACCGCAAGTCGCCAAACATCACAAATCAAATTTCATTACAGAACCACAAACCAATCGGTTGTTTTTCTCAAAATAGTCGCACCGCAGGAACGCGCACTAAAATAATATTCAAAAAATTATCATTGGAATAGGGGTATGTATGGGGGATAAGTTCTCTCAGTTGATATTCTCTGTTCACATGACTAGAATAGAACATACCTTACTGTTATGAAGTATTTGTTGTTTAATAAGTCATTTAGTTAGTCAGTTCAGTATGATTTAGTCTTTCGTTTATCTTTAGAATGTATTTAATGTATGAATTCGAATTCCGAAGATATCGAGGTTTGAACTGTTGTGATAAGTTGTCGAGTTCTGGCAGCCTGCTCTAACTTCCATAAGTGGACGAGCTTAGTTTGTGTACTAACCTTGCTTTGGACCCTCTTGCCTTTTGGCTTACGCAGTCAGAGGTTGATTCAGTTGATCGGAAGCATTACTTACAGAAGTACTTTGTTGTTCCTTTTGAAAGTCTCGTAATATTGTTTGGTTTATTGTTCTAACAACAAATGTTTAATCTCTCAAGGACAGCCAGCGGGCATGCCTAACCACATCTGTTAGTAGTTAGTATATAGACATGTCCTTTACAGCTTACTTAGGAGAGTGGTGAGAGGAGTGAAGAGTAGACTACAAGAACGCAGACAATGTGCAGAAGAGTACGGTCAAAATTTCGTGGCTGAATAAGAATTATTCAGTGAGAATCAAAGTGTGAGAGCCTTAGAGAGTTACCCAGAATTGTGTACTGTGGAACTGAGTAATTCAGAAAAAGTGTAAAAGACAGTTCGAGAGTCTTGGTGCCTTTCGCCGAGCGTGGCGTGCTCGATAGTTCCCCCCCGATTTAATAGTCGTAACAATACTATGAACTTTGGTCATGTGTCAGTAAAGACAGAGTTAACAGTGAAAGACAAGCTGCTCATTGGGGACCAAACGGAGTACAAAATGTCTAATACACTTTATAAAGCTTCCCTTGCGGGCTAGTCTCCCTAACTGTGACCTGCGGTTAATTTAAGTAAGGCTATCACTGAGAAGAGAAAAAGAAAATTCAAGCATTTATCACCAAATTTGTTCAAGATGCAATCTCCTTTGGGAGGGTATTGTCTCCATCTTCCAGATAAACACGAAAAGCTCTCTCCACGGCAGCGACTCCGAAAAACGACTGCAAAACTTTCACCACTACTAGCTTAGCTGAGCTTGCAAAATCTTCGTAATTCTCTCGCACGAACTCCACCATCCGAGAAAGTTCGAAGTCAACAGCTACCACCTCTTCGTGCTCAAACTTATCTTTAGGACCCGTCGTGAACCGAGAACCGAGCTGCTCGAACGTTAGTCGCCTCTCGGGAGCCACTCGTTCATCCGACAGGTCCACGTAACCACAGCAACCCCATTCATGCGTGTCGAACTTGAGGTACACGGTTGTGAGGCAAAGAGCCTTAATGTCGCTGCCTTTCAACTCTACTCGCAGCTCTTCTTCCAGTCCTCGCGCGGCGGTCTGAATCAGATCCACGTAAGACTTGTCGTTTTTATAGACGTAGTCCTTGGTTGAGGCACTTTCCACAGCCCCACAGGTAAACTTGCCTGGGGTTGCCATTCCCTCTGAAAAATAACGAGGAAAAACATAAACAAAAACGGGAGAACGGGCCTTAGATGAAACAAAGCTGATGTGTGTCAAAAAATCTAAAGGCCTCAGTTTTGAGTTTTGTTAGTTTGCTTTGTTCGTGTTGGTGTTGTGCTGTTGAATTCAAATATTCATATTCAGTGCTAAGAGACACAGGATTGTATAAAGGGGCCACACGTTAATGGCATGTCAACTTCGATAAACAAATTTGTTTGTTGTGGTGGCTTGTTGTTCAGCTGATGATGATTGAAATGACAACTGCTACTTAATCAACATTAAATAGTTTTAAAGGGAACTGACTAAAATCAGCGGTGGAATAGGCTCGTGGTTTAAAAAAAACAATCTTGTTACCTGCAGCTGGGAACCCTGTTCGCCAGATTTTCCCACCCTATGGATCACGAGACCTCCGTGACTCGGAATGTTCTGTGTAATGGCGGTCGTTTGGTTGTTTTGTTATCGATACGAACATTCTGGTCCGTACGTAAAAATCTATTTGGGAGTCTTTTAACGGAGATGTATCAGGGTCAGATATCACTGAAAATTGTGGCGTTATGAAATTTAACCATTATTTCATTTTCCTTTAAATCAAATTCTAAACTCGTAAACAGTTACAGAACTCTTAACAAAATGCCAAAAAGGGTGTTTGAACAAAATAGATACCTCGATTAGACCTTCTAGCGAAGATAAATTTCTGAGGTTTGTCTGCAGTCAGGACAGCAACATGGAGGCCAAAAGATGTGCTGAACACCGGATGGACAGTAGTCTTGCACACGACAAACTCTCTCTTTTTAGAGTCTTCTAGGTTCCTCCAGATCTCCCGAACGGCTCTATGGTGACAGTAGGTTGACTGTCCAAACATCAGTTGTATTTCTTGTCTTTCTTCTTCCTCCTCCCGGGAGGTAATCAATGTTTTGAGGGCAATGGCAGGATTGTCTTCGATCTTTTTATCGATGGCATCCTAGATGCAGATAAAGAAAATCAGTCATGAACAGTGGCGGATCTAGGGAAAAGGCCTGGAATCTCCCTACATGAGGAAGACTTTCTTACTGACTTTCAGCATGAATATGTTCTTAGTATATTCTCAAAATTTTTCTTAATCTGAGCCTAAATGTTCTAATAAAAATAGGTTTTTATTAAAAAAAGAGAAGCTAGTTTATTTTGATGGGCTCATCGTTGTAATTTCCATTGTCTGAAGTTGTTTTTCTTCGCCGCCCTATCTTATACGTACAAAAAACATATGTGAAAATCTGGTCTCAATATATGTACCTGCCTAAATTTTCCGTAGTGCTCCCTATACTTCTGTTCATAAACCCACTCCTTTGGCACGTCGTTGTACTCCTTGTTGCCGACCTCTACAGAGCACAACAGACACTCAGGGGGGAATCCTTGGGGACGAACTGCTGTCTTAAAATACCCTTCACTGGACTGTTGGTTAAAGAGGACAAATCAATCAAGACATACATAGGATAAGACGGAGAAGCTTAGTGTAAGCAGCCTACGAGCTGACCTTCATTATTAGCGCGAAGGCAAGAGCGTCTCAACTCCCACGAGAAAGTTTGAGGCATCGCGCAAAGCGAGCCGTCTGCTAGGGGTCTCAATACGAAGGTATAATGGATCGATTAAAGAGCAAAAAGACGGCGCTGCCATGGTTCCCGGTCCGGTTTCCGCTGTTATTGCTAACCTCTGCATGGAGAATTTCGAAGGACATGCGATAACTACATCATCCTACAAGCCTCGGATCTGGAAACGCTACGTGGACGATACCGAATTAAGGAGCACGATGGAGACATCCGACTCGCCCGTTCCGAGACCTCCGCCGTTTCAGAGCAGACCCACAACACCGGACACAAGCCACTCTGGAACGAAGTACAGTTTATTGATCGTGACCCTTATTACTACACGTGCAGGGTCAAAGAGGCAATTCATATAAGACTTCACCTTAACAACATCAACAGGGATAGTGGATGCCCACGATCAAAAAACACAACAACAGGAGAGCAGTGCGACAGCGGACCGCCGAGGGAGCAAATCAGTGGGTGAAACAGCAAGGATCGAAAATGCACCAATCAGAGCTGTTAAAAAACAACTAATCACAGCAGAGCATCATGCTTTATAAGATCACGCATGACCAGTCGACTTCATCGCCTGAAGAAGACTAGCAGTATGCAGTCGAAACGTCGCGATCTATGACACACGTGACTATATCGTTTATTTTATTGTTATTCACCACGACGAATAACCACAACCTTTTTTACGAAATAAAAATTAGTTTCAGACTCTTCCCAGACCTCTCGCGGGCGAAGAAACGCTCCTGCCGCAGCGCTAATAATTTTACGGAAGTATATTACTAGGCCATCAAAAACCGCGAAAACAGCAGTGTTGCTGGGTAAAAGACCACAAATTCGTCAAAGGGAAATCAACTTTATCCACGCAGGCTCAACAGTATTTCAGGTGATAAACCAACTGGGCTAGAGTTTGAAAGTACCAACCCATCACCTTCTCTTCCACAAAATACGAAGTTTTGAGGATATCATGTACTATTGACAAAATGGTAGAGCTCAACTTAGGCAGCGAGACAATGATACAAATACCTCCCCGCAGTAATCACCACTTCTCCATTACCACCAATTACTACTACGGTATTACGGTAAAATTTCCGCACAGCCCCATACTAAATTATGCATTCACTTCTTGGATAGAGAAAACAATGACAAAAACAATACATTGCCATTGGGGAAACAGATTTGTTTTACAATAGTATGGAGCTGTGCGGAAATTTTTACCCAGTATTACCTCGTCCACTAAGCTCTCAGCAACAAAGATATAAGTGTTCTGGAGGAACCCACAGGAAAAGAACTCAGCGCTTTTGGCTTCAGTTTGGTACGGGTTAACATCACCTTCAAGAAAAAACTCTGGTTAGCCATGTGTTAAAGATTAAAAATTTTATATTTAGATGAAGAAAGTGATGTTTACATACTGTGCAATAAAAATATGACCAAAAAAATATTACGAAATAACAAAGAAATGGATAAAAAACGCTAAAATCTTTTAAGCCGGGCAGAATAATTTTTCTAATTCAGTAAATGACGAATCAAAGCAGATATTCAAACGTTCCGATCGGCACTAAACGTGACTGCCAATTCAAAAGTTGGTTGGGAAGTCCAATAGCACGTAAGACGTGGTGTGTGTGGAGTGCTTGTTCTGTTTAATCATGGCACGCAGTTCCTGGTCAAGAAAATTTCAGTTAAGCTTATTTTGACTTGTTTTTCCCTTTGCCGTTAGACTTGTCATTCAATTCTGGTCAGAGAAACGACGAAATTTGCCAGTGTATTGACTTGACAAGAACACTTCTGGTCCCACAAGTCTTCGTAGAAAATCAGTTAAGTTCTAACTGCGTAAAGATAGTGGAGAAGTTTTCGTTGAGAAGTGTATTTACGAGCAGCAATTGCCAGTGAGAGTAAATGAGAGTAATTGAAACTTTGGAAACTCTACCACTAAAATACTCCAAAACCAGTTGGTCTGCTGTAGGTCTCATCTCAGGATTTTCCAGACGACAGTCCTCTATAACTTTTCTCAATACACCACCCAATTCTTCGGGCAACTCCACTCTGTCCTCCTTCTTTATCAAGTTGTCTTGAATGCCCTGTACACTGACAGAGTTTCTACCCTGCCACGGTGTATTTCCTGTTAACGTATAGGCTACTACTTGAGCATACGAGTAGATGTCAGCACGTAGATAAAAAAACTCGTCATCAAAGCCTGTGTGCTCTTCTGTTGTATCTGTCAGTTCTGGGTGAAGAAAGTAACAGTTTGTTTGTAATGCTAACATACTCATTCTGGATGAAAAACCTTTCATTACTTGTTATATTTCACTAGCTACTTGGAGGAAATTAAGTCATGAAGTGTAGGTTTTGACTTAGATGAAGGACAGGGGTGCATTGGGGTCTATTAGAAACCGCAAAATCGTAGAAAAAAAATCATCCAAATCCGCAAAAGCGCTAAAGAATTAGATCAAAACCGAAAACCGCAAACCGCTTGCAAAACCGTCAAAACTGATAATCCGATACAGTGGTGACAAGTGGAACATACAGTGGTTTTCGCGGCATTTGAGATCAGTGGTGCTGCATATTTGTCGCTCAAATTGAAGAAACACCGGCGCCCAAATAGGAAAAAACTGAAAACGACATCGGATACCAAATCCAAAAACTCATTAGTGTTTTTTATGAATACCGAAAATGGAAAATGCGTAACTGCAATGAACACCAAAACTGAAAAACCAAAGTTCTTTGGCACAAAAACCAAAAAAAAAATATCTAAAAGAAAGCCAAAACCGAAAATCCCAATGCTCCCCTCATGAAGGAAGCTCATGGTGTGACAAAAATTCTGATCTTTCTGATCAAAGGGTTAATGTTACCTTCTACATTATACTCATCATCTGTGAAGTAATCATCCCACACTTCAGGTGCTGTCCAGCGCGCATGGAACAAAGACAGATCATTGCCACTCCTCTCAATTGTTCTTGATAAGCCAAAGTCTGCTAGTTTTACCCGCAAGCTTCTGATGTCCAACTTGATTAATTTATGATTTACAAATAAAGGAATAATCAGGATGAAATTTTTTGAATGTGTTCTAGAGATACTGATCGAGTTATTTAACAGCTTAAAAATAGTACGATAGAACATCAAAGTTTTTCAATATTTTTTCAACTGGTCTATTTTTTATCTTCCGTTTTATATTCAAATATATTAAATTTTTGCTTTTCCTAGCAAACAGGTCTCAAAAAGGTAATAAAATTCCAGTAAGAATGATTCTATAAACCCTTGGGTCTTTGCTGTGCAACATATATCTAAATAATTTAAGAAAAAAATTAACTCATTTGCTGATTTTTTTCTTTTTTTTCATTTTGATCAATTTCAACTAATTAATTAATCAATCATTTCTTTTCCCTTTTTATTTTTTTTTCATAAAACTACAGTCTGTCTTCTGTTTTTCTGACAAAAGTCTGAAACAGATGATTTCTACAGGAATCTCACCAGTATATTGTCAGGTTTTAAATCCCTGTGGCTTATTGGAGGATTCAAACTGTGTAGGTACATCAAGCCATTAGCCATTCCTCTACCAATGGTCCACACTTGACTTTTAGGAAGTCCCCTAGATTCTGGAGTTTTGTGATCCTCAACAAATCTGTACAAGTTCTTAGGAATGTACTCCATCACCAGAAAAGGGCATCCTGCTTTAAGGGTGAATTTCTCATGTGAGACATCATGCTCCAAAATGTTCATTCCTCTGAATGCAATAATGTTATCATGCCGAAGATCTCTGTGTATCAAAAATTTAAAATAATTTTAAAGAAGCTAGTAAGAGCTAATTTTCCAAAGAGGGGTTTTAAATTTGAATTGAATGTAACTGAGAGCAACTATAATAATCTGATATTCAATAGAATAATTAATAATGGTAATAGGACCAAGTGGAGTCCAATATGGTTTGTAATCATATGAGTGATAAACAAAATCTGTTGACCAAGAAGTGTGATTTGTTAATCATGAGTGTAATGATTACAGGTAGAATTGGATGACATGAAGTCCTGTTACCAATTAATCAAAACTATGACAAAATTTGAGAAAGAAACTAGACACTGGCGATAAGTTTTCATGAAAAAAACATAGTCAGCTTGGTGAAATGGGAGGCAACAACACATATTAGTGACACGCTCTGTTCACTTACACAGGTATGACGTGTTAACTGTCCCTTTAGCTGTCCTATTACATCATCAAATTACAAGTATGAAGTGTACACTGTCTAATTATTGCTCAGATCAGGCTGGTGATAACCAATCATGTTCTTGAGAATTTTATTGTAACCAATCACATGTACATTCATGAGAATTTTGTTATAGTTTTGATTAAAAGCTTAAGAGGAGAAATGGAGAATGAATGGTTAGTGCGCTTAAGTACAGATCAAAAAATCCAAATTCAAGATGTGGCTGAGTCAATATGTTGTGCTCTTCAGCAAAACACTTTGCTCTCACAGTGCCTCTCTCCAACCAGAGTATACAAGTAAATAGGTACCAGCAAGTTAGTTGCCAGGGAAGCCTGATGAAATGCTGGGGGGGGGGGGGGGGGTAACCTTGTAATGGATTTGCATCCCATCCAGATAAAGTAGTGAAACTCCTGGTTGCTTCATGGTAATTAGCAAACCAGGACAAGCTCCAGCTGGGTGAGCCACTTGGTGCAAGAACAAACTAAATGCATATATGGAAGACTGAAATAAAGTGTATTTTGCAAATAAAATCACTCAACTTCATCAAAAGGTTTGAAGAGAGGTTACATATATTTTAAGCTAATGATTGTAACATTAAACTTTATAATTATCTAAGAAGGGTAGAAATGAGCATGCTTAAAAGTTCACCTCAATAGATTTCCTTCTGTAAGCAGAGGTCTTGTTTCTTTAAGATTTTTTAACACCTTGACAGCAACATCATTCCCTTTAAGCTTAGCCTTATACACACTTGAAAATCCACCTTCCCCTAGCCGCTCCCAGGCTGCCAGTTCATCCTGGATTACTTTCCCAACAGTCCTCAAACCGGATGACTCTGCAAGGAAAGTTGTGTTCAAAAGCCCATTCTGTTTATATATCAAATATTGACTTGCAGTCATAAATATTGTAAATGATCCCTTTACGCCCTAACATCAGTATGCATATTTTCTAAACTGTTCTCTGAACATTTCCTTCCTTTTCTGCCTGTCTCGTGCACTGAACTCATCACCTTTCACTTAAATCACCAGGCTTAACATTTACCATCCTTATTTACATCATCATTGCACAAAAGCATCACATTCAACAGTCCAATCCTAGCAGTATGTAGGAAGTTAGTCATTATGGAGCTTGTTGTTTCCCTTTAAACTGTAAGAGTGACTAGCATTTAATTTCTCCTTATAATATCACCCCTGAATCACATGTTAAGGTCATCAGAATGAAGGAAATGATAACCAACACCAGGAAGCTTTTAATCAGTAAACAAATTCTCCTTGTCAGCACCCTAGGAAATGTAGAAAGAACAGTGTGGAGAATATGTATAATGGCATTAGGGGGAAAAGGGTTAAACTGCCAAGCCTGCCACAAGTCCTCTGTAGCTCAGTGGTAGAGCATCCAAAGTACATGTACTAATTGGGAGGTCATAGGTTCAACTCCCATTAGGACCCCTCAGAGTTCTTTTCCCTACAAGTATACCTGTGTTATTCACTGAAAACATTGACTTTCATTTCCTAAGATGTTGACAAGAAGAAATTTGTTTAAGAATCAAGAGCTTCTTCAGTTGGTGATAATTTCCTTTATTCTTGTGACCCAAATGTTTGATTCAGGGGTGATATTGTAAGGAGAAATTAGATGCTCGTCACTATTTGGGGTCAATTGGTTAATTATGAGTGTAACTAGCGCAACAGTAAAGAAAAGAATGGTGATATTTTGACAAATAGTAAGTACAATATACAGGTATTTCCCATCTGCATCTACAGAAAGCTTTTATTTTTTTATTTTTGCTTCTAGAAACTTAGGATTGTTTTTTTTAGACCCTTTCTCTGAGCCAGGTTGTTGTTTGTTTTTTTGGTTCTTTCATCAAGTTAGCATCAAACATTTGTGGCAAACTTCAGTATTTAATAGAACACTGAAAAAATATAATTCAAATCTGACCAGAGTATGCTGACTACCTGATCTGGTGGGGAAAATTCAATATACATCAAATATATCTAAAAGATAAGATTGGAACAACATGATTTGAGTTGTTCCATTCAAAAGCATACTTCCGAAAAACCAACAACAGGTCAACAACAACAGATCAACAACAACAGATCAGCAACAACAGATCAACAACAACAGCTCAACAACAGGGGCAAAAACAGCCCCATACTTTATTATGCACACATATATGGGGCTTCATTATTCAGTGTATCACCATTAAGATGTGCATGCATAATGAGGAATGGACTGTCTGGAAATATTTCCTAATTTGATGTAATCCCTGCTTAAACTGTCGATTTATCTTTTAGATGAACAAACTTTACTCAGAAGCGACCAAACAAACCCTTAACAATTTTATAAGACCTGAGGGAAAAACGGGCGAAGTAAGAAACGATGGTTTTACTTTACGATACAAGAAATGGAAAATAACAATAAAATTATAAACATGTATACCTTCTTCGTTGCACGAGGCTTTTATCAGATCTATATTCTTGTTTACTTGACATAAGATGTGTCGAACTTGCTCGTTTGTCACCAAGTCACTTCCGGCCTCGAGAGAGCTAATTGCAACACAAATTTGTTTCTGAATTTTGCCTAACAACTCCAGCCTTTTTCTTGCTATTTCATCTAGGGATAAGTTTGCAAAATCATCTCGGACATCCGCCATGGTACACTTCAAGCTCAGGTGTCACATTTCTTAAACATTCGTGAAAAAGTTTGTCGTAATGGAACTGATAGTGGGTGCGTTCATCATGGTGACAAGGTATCCCATGAGGGGATTCCCCTTAAATCTTTCCACGATAGTACACTCGATTCCGTTGGTGCCTTTTCCAGAGCATTTCCAAATTAGGACTTTGGCTAACAACCAATCACATGTTACGTACTAATGTATTATAATGCGAAACATATCATACATTTTCTTTGCTACTAATAAGCCGACCAGAGTTGGCAATCTGTGGTAGAGATTTTTGTGAGTGTTAAATCATTTTTCTTCTTAATATTTCCCAGTTCTTATAATTTAGTTATACTCTTACATTTACTTTTTACGCTTGATAACACTTCCGAGTTCTTCCTGACTATTATGGCGCGAATTGGAACGTACGTTGGCTTTACATAATTTATTTTTAGAATTTCGGCTAGGAAATCACATTGAAAGGCTTCAAATTGCCAACTTTTCTCTCGACGATGCGATTGAATGAGCATTAACGATGAACGGAAACTGCCGAAATCGTTTGGTCGATCGTTCGGTGTAAGAACGAAGTCAAACACAAGCGTGATCTGTCTGTGGCATCGGGTTGCAATTGATCAATAAAGAACGGCTAATACAATTTTGAATGCCTCGTGATTGTATCTCGTGATTGTTTCTATGCTAAGTGTGTGGAGCCTTGGATTTTGCAATTGTTGTCTTGTCTATGGTGAAAATGAAAGCCTTCTACCGAGCTCATACAACACTGTGTAGAGATCTGAAAATGTTTGTATGATCATTTTATGCATTCAAAGGGAACAGAAGAAATGATTCTGTGGTACTCTAAGCTAATGAAATCTAACAGTTATCCAATTACTTGTTATGAAATCGTCCACTAATTCCTAATTTCGTCTTTTTTTCAAGGAAGAGTGAATGATCAGTCCATAATGGATGAAGATGATATGGGAAGAAGGTACCAACAGTGCAGTAGCATTTCACACTCAGTTTGTGGTTTGCCTCATTGCTTTTAGGAAAGTGTGCAGTCAACTCTCACATTTCATTTTGTCATGTCTATCATTTAACTCTTTCACTCCCAAGATCTCATTTGTAATTCTCTTCACTGTCTGCCGTACAATTCTCATGATAATAGTTGGGAGAATTTGGTATGGGATCAGCCAACTATCTCTGTGTTTGTGCACGTGAACTGTGCTACTGATCCCTCTTAATAATTATTTTCTTTATTCTCATTACTTTCTGCTTGATGTTGATAATGTGTGGAGGAGTCGTGTCTTAGTCACTCTTTGGAGTCAACTCTTTCACTCCTTTGAGTGACTAAGAAGTACCAAATTTTCCTAACTAAATTCATTAGAATTTTAGGGTAGACAGTAAGGAGAATTACCAATGAGGTCCTGGGAATGAATGAATTAAAGGATTTTTAGCACAATGATTTATTATTTTATGATTTAAATAAACTATGATCAATTTATTATGGTATGATGGAGACACTTAAATCTCATGTAAAGTTTCACATATTTAATGAATATTATAGAATGATTTAGCTGTTTTGACTGTTTCACTCTTTTTGTTTCTGATTACATGTACACATAGCTGGAGTGGAGGTTCATCCTCTTCTGAAGGGTTATTACAAAGGCAGTTGTCTGATAGAAACATAGACCCCATAGTTAAAATGTAATTCCTGGTGAGTGCTATATCCATAAGTCTTTTTGAAAAAGATGGAGTTGGATTGTCACAATTGTAAATAATACAAAACCAAATTGAATCTGCCATGGTTAGTAATCAGAAATCTGCCTAATAGAACTTTTTATGCCTGAGGTTCACTTTATATTTGGTCTAATGAGGTACGCAGAAGTTTTTCATAGTCCTGGCCTATACAGTCATGTGAAAAGCATTCATTCTCCCACTTTCATGGCAAAACCAAAAAGAAACTTTTTCTACTTCAATATCAGGGGAAAAAACACATCAACTTTTGTATTCAATCTGATTTACTGGTAGATATATTTTCAAGAGAAATGTATTAAATACAATAAGAAAAAAAATGTTCACTCTTTGATTTCAAATTTAAGATTGTACTGATAATTATAATACCATCCTTCTCTCTTTTGGATGGTACTGAGAATATGGGAGGGATATGCAGTAATGTAGAGTTGAGAAATGGGGGGGGGGGGTGTTACAATTTTTGTGCAATGCAACTCAAGAAGTGGGGAGAAACACTTGAAACACTTGACTAAGTCTTGAGTTTCCCCCTACACTTCTTTCATGCTCTAGCTGCTTCCTGCATGCTTCATAACAAAACAGAGCACAGTCAAGGCTTCTCTATTTGTTAAGTAGACAACCAATGCATTAAATGGGATATGTTAACCTGTAGTTTGGGCACTGTGCTGAACTTCCATTTTTTGGTAAAAATGTAAAAATTGCTATAAAAAGTTACTGATTGTTCTCCACTGTAATTGATAGGAAGCAGAGCATGTGGTGCTAAAAGCCAAAAAATCACACATTGTTTTGGGTCACAAACTTTCATATTTGATGTGAGGAAATTTAAGTAATTCAATATGCAGACAATGTCTGCTGTGATTGTCTCCTGTGACTTTTAATATATAGTTTCCAGGCTTAGTCTCTTGACTAAATCATAATCTGTTGATTTTACTGTACCTGTCAAGAACAACAAGCAAGCTATAATACTAGCTATCTCTCATGTGGCTTACAAGCATGAAATTTGGCACACAATTTGCTTATACCCTGCCAAATGATATAAGAAGGGGTGCCCATGTCAATCTCCTCACGCTTCCGTTTTAAAGAGATCTTTAGTATGCGGAATTCCAAACCGACTACAAGACTGCCGCTCATGCTTCGCTCGACCATCCAAGATGGCGGCGCCCTTGCCGATCATTTCATCAAAGAAAATGTCTTTGGAAAATTATCTTTAGAACATAAAATAAATATATTTTTTATCTATTAGCATGGTTTTAAGCCTGGTTTGAGTGGTAGTTATCCTAATTAAAATGCTCCTGTTTGAGTTCGACTAGTTCATCGTGAAAGTAAAATATCTGTGAGTACCTTACGCAAGAAATCTTTTAATTTGTATTTCATGCCGTTGGACAGGTTGTTTCAATCCTTTTTATTGTTTTAAAGCAGTGACTGGTTGTTTTAATTTAGACAGTAGGCCATTTTGGTGCTTTGTTCTTTTATCTCTGTAGGTATAACAAATAGTTAATTGTTAGAATTATATGGAGAAAAACGGTAATTTTGATTCAAGTAATAAGAACTTTGTTACCTTGTAGAAATTTTGAAATAGCATTTGTCCTCTAGGAGCTTTAACTGTAATGTCACTTGATTGGAAAAAGTGCATCATTTGTCAGGAGTCCACGAGAGAAGCATTAAAGTGTTCCCTAAACAGCAATGGATCACCTGAAGATAACCGACAAACGTATTTGACTTTCTTTCAAAATGTGAATAGCATTCGGGAAGCAAATGCTTTACCCACGGAGCTTAAATTTGGCGACGATGTTGATGTAACTGCCTTTGTCAAGGTTCTTGGCACAAGTCCTGTAACCTCAAGTTTAGCCTTTCAAAGCTTAAGAAAGCTCAAGAGCGTGCAGGCCGAAAACGAGGCGAAGACAGCAGAGCAGACGAGGAGGGAAGACCCGCATCGAAACGCAGGAAACGCCAGTCTAACTCTGAAGAGCAGTCACAATGTTTATTATGTTCAGGTGGAGGCGACAGCGATAAGCTTCAATGTCTCTCGATGCTGGAAACTGATAAGAGCGTCCGTCGAATAACCCTTGAACTGGAGGATTTTGAATTGTTACAATATACAGGTCGTATATCAGAGGAAGAATTAATTACTATTGAAGCAAAATACCATCTGAAATGCCCAATCTCTTTGAAAAATCGGTACAGATCACTCTGTACGCAGAAAGTGCAATGTTCAAGTGATAGAGTGGACGATGAAAAAATGGACGAGTCAATCGCATTTGTCGAGCTGGTTGAGTACATTGAAGGATGTGTGGAAAACGGAACTCATCTGTTTAAACTTTCTGAGCTGTCGTCGTTGTACATCCAGAGGCTTAAAGATCTTGGAATTAAAAAGACCACAAATAAAACCAAGTTAAAGAATTCTTTGTTGGAACATTACAATGGGAGAACAAACTGATGGAAGAAACACTCGCTTAGTTTTTAACGAGGCAATAAGTACTTTACAGAAGACGCTGAAATTCTAGCGAGGGCTGCAACGATTGTAAGGAAAGACATTTTTGCTCACAAAGGATTTTATTTTTCTGGATTTTTTCCAATGGACTGCCAATCGTAATATTTACCATCTAGCTGGAGGTCTCTGATTTCTATCATTCTAAATGGACTTAACATAAGGGATCTAGTGCAGTCAGAAAACCAAGCATGTCTAACAGTCTGCGAAACGATTATCTTCAACACTAAGAAGAGGTCCTACAAGACCAAAACTGGTCAAACTCGCCACTCGGCATCTCGTGAGCCACCTCTATCTCTTGGCCTAAGCATAGCATAGCTCGACCAGAAGTAAAACACTCATGGAAAAGATGTATCAAATGGGGATTTCTGTTTCCTACGATCGCATCATGGAAATAGAAGACTGGCTAATGTCGTCTCTTTGCGAGTGCTACAGGGAAGATGGATGTGTATCGCCTGCTTGTTTAAGAAAAGGAATATTTTCAGTGGGTGTGCTTGATAACCTTGATCATAATCCCAGCTCTACGACATCAGTATCCTCATGTCACGGAACTGGTATCAGCATCCTTTAGTGAAGTGATAAAAACAAGATAAAATTGCAAAAATTGCGAAAAATCGTTTTAAATAGTGGTAAAATGACTCTGTTGAAAATCGTACCACAGGTAGTCCAACTCTCATTGGTGATGTCTTGGGCTTTATCTCGTAGCTCTTGTCCTAAGTGCTGTGCTTCTTGCGTTGTAGATCCAGTTTCCCTCCGAGTTCATCTTTGATGTCTTGGGCTTTACCTCGAAGCTCTTGTCCTATGTGCTGTACTTCATGCGCTGTAGATTCTACTTTCCCTCCGAGCTCATCTTTAATATCTTGAGCTTCTTCTCAAACTTCTTGTCTTAAGTATGGAGCTTCTTTGTCCAATTGCTTCACTGAAGATTCTATTTTTTTGTTGATGTTTTCGTTAAAAAATAGGAAACTTAGGAAAGAATTCACAGCTCTGATATTGAAAATATACCTACCTTAATTGCGATAGAGCAGCTTAGGAAATTTAAGTGGAAAAGCAATTTAAAATTTCTGCTTATCTATGCAAGCTTGGTGTGGAAACTATCGTATAAAAGGAAATTGAAATTATGAGTATAAACTCAGCTGCCAACTACCATAAGAATCAATTTTTCCAGAAAGACCATTAACACTTATATTTACCTAAAATTTCACTAGTAATGGTGAACAAAAGTACCTACATGCAGGTGTACAATAAAAGCAAGCAACAAAACAAACATCTTTTAGTTTACTACTCAAAAGCTACTGTGGCTTTTTTTTAATTTTTTTTTCTTTTTTACTTACTAGAATCAAAGAACTTGAATGAACTCGAATAAATTGAAAATGGTTAAATATGGGAAGTTTACGAATAATATGTCCCAAACAAACACGGAAGAATCAGTAAATTTTCCCGTAACAGAGCTTACTTAGGATAGTGGCGAGAAGATAGTGCAGAAGAATGCGGTCAGAATTCCGTGGCTGAAGAAGAATTGTTCATTGAGAGAGCCTTAGAGATTAAACAGAGTTACACAGAATTGTGTACTGGAGAACCGAGTAATTAGAGAAAAAAGTGAAAAAGACAGTGCGAGGGTCTCGGTGCCTTTCGTCGAGCGTGGTGTGTTCGATAGTTAGTTCCCCCGATTCGATAGTCGTAACAGTACTATGAACTTTGGTCATGTGTCAGTAAAGACAGAGTTAACAGTAAAAGACAAGCTGCTCATTGGGGACCCAACGGAGTACAAAATGTCTAATACCCTTTATAAAGCTTCCCTTGCGGGCTAGTCTCCCTAACTGGAGCCTGTGGTTATTTTAAGTAAGGCTATCACTGAGAAGAGAAAAAGAAAATTCGAGCATTTATCACCAAATTTGTTCAAGATGGAATCTCCTTTGGGAGAGTATTGTTTCCATCTTCCAGATAAACGCGAAAAGCTCTCTCCACGGCAGCGACTCCGAAAAACGACTGCAAAACTTTCACCACTACTAGCTTAGTTGAGCTTGCAAAATCTTCGTAATTCTCCCGCACGAACTCCACCATCCGTGAAAGTTCGAAGTCAACAGCTACCACCTCTTCGTGCTCATACTTATCTTTAGGGCCCATCGTGAACCGAGAACCGAGCTGCTCGAACGTTAGTCGCCTCTCGGGAGCCACTCGTTCATCCGACAGGTCCACGTAACCACAGCAACCCCATTCATGCGTATCGAACTTGAGGTACACGGTTGTGAGGCAAAGAGCGCTGATGTCGCTGCCTTTCAACTCTACTCGCAGCTTTTCTTCCAGTCCTCTCACGGCGGTCTGAATTAGATTCACGTAAGGCTTGCCGTCTTTATAGATGTAGTCCTTGACTGAAACACTTTCCACAGCCCCGCAGGTAAACTTGCTTGGGGTAGGCATTCCCTCTGAAAAATAACGAGGGAAAAAATAAGCAATATTTTATGCGCTACATTTTTCGTTGGTCTATTCTAGGATTGCTCATCGTTATGTTTACAGTCTCGTTATTAAGTATCGCGAATTTCTCTGCATTTGGACCC